CTGAGTATTTCCTCCCCATCTTTAAGTCCCTTTTGTTTGTTGTAGTTTTGTTGTTGAGTTTTCTTAATTGTGATATTTTTGTTTTTTTTTTCTTTCAGTTACTATGTCTAAGTCTAGTTCAAACTTTTTATGCGTTGATCATTATATCTGTTCATATATCTCTATATTGGTCTCTCAGTCATTGTTTGTTTGTTTGTATGTGTGTGTGCTCTCTCCCGCTCTCTCTCTCTCTCTCTCTCTCTCTCTCTCTCTCTCTCTCTCTCTCTCTCTCTCTCTCTCTCTCTCTCTCTCTGTATGTGTGTGTGTGCACGTGTATGTGCGGGTGCATTTTAACTAAGCCTGACCAGCCCATTTCCGCGCTTATGAACCTGCAATTAACTGCAACGCATTTCCCAAGACTCTGATGTTAAAAGATCATTTGCAAACATGGAACAAGTAAAAGCACCGTGCGACCTTCGTCAGAACAGACACTCCACAACAAGTACCATAGTTTTTTTTTGTGTGTGGAATACATTCAATCCACACACTGAATTATCACAAGAATTCATCATCTTTTTGGCCTCGACTTTTATGGTCATTTCCTACAGCACCGCAAGAAATAAAAAATCAAGAATAAAAGAAGAGACTTCAATACTTCAAACGACTTGCCACGAATCCGATACTGCAAGCTGCCTCACGGAAACACACTCTTGCATTTGCATTCTCGACACTCCATTGGATCTTTGCATTTCTTGCAACATAATCTCAACAAAGTCATTATTTCAAACGCAAATATCACATTCATACATTCCATCCCCCTCCTCCTCCACCCTCCCTCCCTCCCTCCCTCCCTCCCTCCTTCTCTTCCTCCCTTCTCCCTTTCGCTTCCTCCCTCTCATTTTTCACCTTTCCTCCTTCATTCCCCTTTTCTTCTCAGTCTCTTTTTCCCCATTTATCCTTCCTTCTTTTGCGCCGCTAATGACCTTAGTTGTTGACGCGGCAGATAATTTTAAATAATTAATTCTTTTTTCTTTTCTTCTTCATCTCCCTTTATTCCGCTCTTCCTTCCATACTTCCGCCCTTTCCTCCTCTCTCCCTCCCTCCCTCCCTCCTTCTCTTCCTCCCTTCTCCCTTTCGCTTCCTCCCTCTCATTTTTCACCTTTCCTCCTTCATTCCCCTTTTCTTCTCAGTCTCTTTTTCCCCATTTATCCTTCCTTCTTTTGCGCCGCTAATGACCTTAGTTGTTGACGCGGCAGATAATTTTAAATAATTAATTCTTTTTTCTTTTCTTCTTCATCTCCCTTTATTCCGCTCTTCCTTCCATACTTCCGCCCTTTCCTCCTCTCTCCCTCCCTCCTTCTCTTCCTCCCTTCTCCCTTTCGCTTCCTCCCTCTCATTTTTCACCTTTCCTCCTTCATTCCCCTTTTCTTCTCAGTCTCTTTTTCCCCATTTATCCTTCCTTCTTTTGCGCCGCTAATGACCTTAGTTGTTGACGCGGCAGATAATTTTAAATAATTAATTCTTTTTTCTTTTCTTCTTCATCTCCCTTTATTCCGCTCTTCCTTCCATACTTCCGCCCTTTCCTCCTCTCTCCCTCCCTCCTTCTCTTCCTCCCTTCTCCCTTTCGCTTCCTCCCTCTCATTTTTCACCTTTCCTCCTTCATTCCCCTTTTCTTCTCAGTCTCTTTTTCCCCATTTATCCTTCCTTCTTTTGCGCCGCTAATGACCTTAGTTGTTGACGCGGCAGATAATTTTAAATAATTAATTCTTTTTTCTTTTCTTCTTCATCTCCCTTTATTCCGCTCTTCCTTCCATACTTCCGCCCTTTCCTCCTCTCTCCCTCCCTCCTTCTCTTCCTCCCTTCTCCCTTTCGCTTCCTCCCTCTCATTTTTCACCTTTCCTCCTTCATTCCCCTTTTCTTCTCAGTCTCTTTTTCCCCATTTATCCTTCCTTCTTTTGCGCCGCTAATGACCTTAGTTGTTGACGCGGCAGATAATTTTAAATAATTAATTCTTTTTTCTTTTCTTCTTCATCTCCCTTTATTCCGCTCTTCCTTCCATACTTCCGCCCTTTCCTCCTCTCTCCCTCCCTCCTTCTCTTCCTCCCTTCTCCCTTTCGCTTCCTCCCTCTCATTTTTCACCTTTCCTCCTTCATTCCCCTTTTCTTCTCAGTCTCTTTTTCCCCATTTATCCTTCCTTCTTTTGCGCCGCTAATGACCTTAGTTGTTGACGCGGCAGATAATTTTAAATAATTAATTCTTTTTTCTTTTCTTCTTCATCTCCCTTTATTCCGCTCTTCCTTCCATACTTCCGCCCTTTCCTCCTCTCTCCCTCCCTCCTTCTCTTCCTCCCTTCTCCCTTTCGCTTCCTCCCTCTCATTTTTCACCTTTCCTCCTTCATTCCCCTTTTCTTCTCAGTCTCTTTTTCCCCATTTATCCTTCCTTCTTTTGCGCCGCTAATGACCTTAGTTGTTGACGCGGCAGATAATTTTAAATAATTAATTCTTTTTTCTTTTCTTCTTCATCTCCCTTTATTCCGCTCTTCCTTCCATACTTCCGCCCTTTCCTCCTCTCTCCCTCCCTCCTTCTCTTCCTCCCTTCTCCCTTTCGCTTCCTCCCTCTCATTTTTCACCTTTCCTCCTTCATTCCCCTTTTCTTCTCAGTCTCTTTTTCCCCATTTATCCTTCCTTCTTTTGCGCCGCTAATGACCTTAGTTGTTGACGCGGCAGATAATTTTAAATAATTAATTCTTTTTTCTTTTCTTCTTCATCTCCCTTTATTCCGCTCTTCCTTCCATACTTCCGCCCTTTCCTCCTCTCTCCCTCCCTCCCTCTTCCCTTCCTTTCTTCCTTTCTTCAATCCTCCCGCCCTTTCCTCGTCCATGCCTCCTTACATCCTCCCTCCCTCCCTTCCTTCTTTCTCCCCTCCCTTTCTCTCTTCCCTCCTTCCTTTCTCCCTTCCCTCCTTCCTTCCTTCCCTCCTTCCTACCATCCTTCCTTTCCTTTCCTTTCCTTTCCTTCCTTCCTTTCATCCAGCCTGCAACAGACTCTCCCACATATGGATAGATATCAAACTTCGATATCAGTTTAATCTACATGACATACTCGAAGCTGTTGAATCCCCCCCCCCCCCGCTTTCCTTCCAACTTCCCACGCTGAAGTTCACCGATGGTAGATCACTATTGCTATTTGTCATATTTTCCACATTTTTCTATTTTTGCAATATCGTTTCTATCATTAGAGAAACTCGTAGAAATAGTATTAGCATCCTTACTAGCATCTTCATCATAATCACACTCATATTCACAATCACTATCACAATCACTATCACAATCATCATCACCATCGCCACCATTTCTATTAGAGCAGGAGACAAACAATCAATCAGACAGACACACATTCATACAAGCACAAGCACACTTAAACAATTTTCACCCCTAATTAAGTGACAAAACTGGTACATCTGCACTGTACCTATGTAAAAGCAAAGAACCCGACACACCACAATACCAGGACACCATCACTTTGTTGCTCTGTCGACCGAGCAAGAGCAAGTATATCGTTTTAATAATTCATACCGAATTTCACAGAGGTAATCTGAACTCTTCTTTCATATATTCATAATTGTGAGAGAAGCATTATATTGGCATCATTTATTTTTTTATGAGCATTATTATTATCGATCTATTAATTATTGATATTACTGTTATCTTTTCTTCTATTTCGACGTGGTTGGAGGTTTAAAGTTTTATCCACGTCATATATATATATTTTTTTTTTTCATTTTTTTTTTCACTATGCAATTTTCTAATATCACGTAATCAAGCAGGGCAATGACACTCTTCAAATAAAATCCGTCAAAGCGTGGGTAAAATGTTCAATATTTATAGGTCTTTCCTAAAAATGACAGAACAATAATGATAATGATGAAAATAACAAAAATAAGATAATGATGATGATGATGATAATAACAAAAGAATATCAATGAGGATATAATTCAGAATGATAATGATATTACACATAATAATAATAAAAATGAATATAATAATAATAATAATAATAATGATAATGATAATAATAATGATAATAATAACAATAATGATAATAATGATAATAATAATAAAAATAATGATAATAATAAAGCCAACAGGAACAAGAAAAACAATAATAATAGTAACTATAATGATGATGATTATGATGATAACACTAATAATAATAATAATAATAATAATGACAATATTATAACAAATGATAATGATAATGATAATGATAATGATAATAATAATAAAATAATGAAAATAACACAAATAATAACAACGATAATGTTGATTATTATCATCATCATCATTATTATTATTATTATCACTATTATTATTATTATTAATATCATCATTGTTATTGTAATTATAATTTCAATTATGATTATGATTACGATGACGATATGGTAATTACAATAATAATGTTATTGTCAACAACCATAATAATGATAATAATAATAATAATTATAATTATAATAATAAAAAGTAATAATAATAATAATAGTAGTAATAATAATAGTAATAATAATGATAATAATAATAATAATAATAATAATAATAATAACGATAATAATAATAATAATAATAATAATAATAACAATAATAATAATCATCATCATAATCATCATCAAAATCATAAAAAAATAATAAAATAACAATAACATCTGTCATAATAATGCCGAAGATAACGACAGCAGCAACAATGCTAGAAATAAAAATGATAATAGAACAATATTGCTAATTGTAAAAGCCGCAACTGCAAAAATATCATCAATCAAAAAAAAAAACAAAAAAAACACTCTATTAAACAGTACCTCGTCCAGAAAAAAATTTAAATAAGTCAACAACACGAGAACACGCTGGAGAGAGAGAGAGAGAGAGCGCGCGCGAGAGACGAAAAATCTTCAAAAGAAATCGACGGAACTCTCTTCCCTCTCTCTCTCTCTCGACGAAAACCGAATTTCCTTTACACGTTTTTCTCTCTTACTTTCTTTCTCTCTCTTTCACACGAGGCACGAAAGCGACACGGCACCGATATCACTACATGAGCTACGGGACGGCACACCTAGGCGGCGCGCGGCCCGGGAACACACTGACGAGAGAAGGGCAGAGTGCTGGCGAACCGACTCAGTCAATGGAGGCGGGAGGAGGGAGGGAGAGAGAGAGAGGGATGGGGGAGAGGGAGAGGGATGGGGGAGAGGGAGAGGGAGAGGGAGAGGAAGGGGGAGAGAGAGGGATGGGGAAGAGGGAGAGGGAAAGGGTGGGAGAGAGAGAGGGATGGGGGAGAGGGAGGTGCCAGGCGAGGGAGAGAGGGTGAGGGAAGTGAAGAGTGGAGAGGGAGGTGGAGGGCAGGGGAGAGGGGAGAGAGAGGGAGAGGGTGAGGAAAGTGGAGAGTGGAGAGGGAGGTGGAGGGCGGGGGAGAGGGGAGGGGGAGGGAGGTGGAGGGTGGGGAAGAGGGAGGTGGAGGGCGAGGGAGAGGGAAGGGAAAGGAGGTTGGAAGGCGGGGGAGAGGAGAGAGGGAGCGTGAGACGGATGGCCGGAAGGGGAGAGGGAGGTGGAAGGCGGGGGGGGGGGGTAGGAAGAGAGAGATTGATGAGGGAGAGGGAGATGGTGGTGAAGAGCAAGGGAGATGGGGGTGGATGGTGGAAGAGAGAAAAAGAGAGAGCAGAGGGAGACAGAAGAGAGAGAGAATGTCGTAGAAGGAAGGAGAGGGTGAGAAAAAGCAAATGGGGGGAGGAAGGGGGGTCGGGAGTTGAAGGGATAGGGAGGAGAAAGGGAGGAAGAGGAGGGAAGGATAGCGACGGATAATGGAAGAAAAATTAAGGGAAAAGAGAAGTGAGTGAAAGAGGATGAAAAGAGAAGTGAGTGAAAGAGGAGGAAAAGAGAAGTGAGTGAAAGAGGAGGAAAAGAGAGAGAGAGATATTGAGGGATAATAAAAGTGAGAGAGAGAGGTAGGAGATGGAAAGATGGAGGGACTGAGGAAGAAAAAAAGTGATAAAGAGGAACGATAAAGAGAAAGGCTAGATAGGATGGAGGAATAGAGAAGAAGAAGATGAGGAGACAGATAACCAGCTATTGTGAGGAAGAGGAGAAGAAAGGAGGAAGGAAAGGATGAAGGAAAGGAGGAAGGAAAGGAGAAAAGAACTAGTAGGAAGAGGAGGAGGAATAAAAAAAAGAAGAAGGAATAAGAGGGGATTGTGTGGGAGTTTAGCGATGTTGTGGGCGATTCCGAGCTGTCTGATGAGTGTTTGTGACAGGTGCTAGTTGGTGTTGCTGTCCCTTACTGGCTCGGCTGATAAGTTCACTTGTACCGCTTGGGTATAATTTGGTGCACTGTAAACGTACTCTTAAATATATTTCAAACCTAATTGTTACCGTGAATTGATAATTAAACTGCAAGCCTTAACACACACACACACACACACACACACACACACATACACACAGACACACACACACACACACGCACATATATATATATATATATATATATATATATATATATATATATATATATATATATATATATATATATATATACATATACATGTATATATATACATGTATATATATATATATATATATACATATACATGTATATATATACATGTATATATATATATATATATATATATATATATATATATATATATATATATATATATATATATATATATATATATACATATACATGTATATATATACATATATATATATATATATATATATATATATATATATATATATATATATATATATATATATATACATATTTATATATGTGCACATATAGACACATATGCATTTTAAAATATATACATGTATACATACATTACATATATATAGATAAATATATTGATATATTAATAGATTGATAGATTGATAGACAGATAGATAGATAGATAGACAGACAGACAGACAGACAGACAGACAGACAGACAGACAGACAGACAGATAGATAGATAGATAGATAGATATAGATATGCACACATATATTTATATTCATATTTATATTTTTATATATTTATATATATATATATATATATATATATATATATATATATATATATATATATATATATTTATATATATGTATTTATTTATTTATTTATTTATTTATCTATTTACATCGGCCTAAGAATCATACAACAACAAAAAAACAAAGCTATCGCAACGCGGGCGAGGAAATAAACCTGCTACAGAAATGGAACAACACTGTATTGACATTATCATCAAAACGTGCTCCAGGTATGCACACTAGCGGATCGAAACAGTTCTGGACTGCAACACCGACTTACATAGAATGTTTATGTGGGCGGAGATCGATGCGAATACATACATATATTTTATTCATAAATTAAATTCCACTCACGCACAGGTTGAACGCGTAGGATGGGACAGAAGGTGGAGAGGAGAAGAGAGGAGAAGAGAATGTAGGAAAGAAAGGACAGATAGAGAGAAAGACAGACGGATAGAAATAAAGGAAACAAATAAACAGCTAAAAAACACATACAAAACGAATTAGAGATCAGATAAATGAAACAATGATGTTCCCAACTGTGATAGCCAAGAATAATTGATGTTTATTGCATAGCAACGTTGGCGTGCAATGAAGGATCGGTGATGATCATTCATCAACTCTAGTTTTAGCCGTTTTATAGGAAAGAAAATATACTTTCTTTGCTTTAAAAATTTGCGAATATAATTTTAAGATTAGGGGGGAAATAAAGCCCAATATAAAGATTAAGTAAGTTGAAAGGAAAGCAAAAATCATAGAGAAATACGAGTTACATTTCTCCTGCACTTCTTCCTTACACTATAAATACTATAGTATATTTCTAAAAAATCTGGTTGTCAATATTCCAAAACTACTGAAAAACTGCAAGACAATGTGCATAACGAGAAAAGCGCACCCATCTACGCAAACACAGACACGCAAAAATACACACATACATACATATACATACATATATACATATATATACACACACACACACACACACACACACACACACACACACACACACATATATATATATATATATATATATATATATATATATATATATGCATATATATATATATGCATATATATATATATATATATATATATATATATATATATATATATATATATATATATATATATTTAATATATGTATATATATATTCATAATATACATACATACATTTATATACATATATATAGTATATAGTGATGGATAGACAGTTAAATAGATATAGAAACGTGGGCAGACTATAGATACAGATAACGATATACAGATTTTTATATACATTCATGCACACACAAACATACATAAGTATGTGTGTGTATGTGTGTAAGTATGTATAAATGTATATATATATATATATATATATATATATATATATATATATATATATATATATATATACATATATATATACATATATATATACATATATATGTATACAAATATATACAAATGTATACACACACGCACACAGACACACACACACACACACACACACTTACATATACATACATATGTATATGTATATATATATATATATATATATATATATATATATATATATATATATATATATATATATATATATATATATATATATGTATATGTATATATATATATCTATATATATATGTATATATATATATATATATATACATATATATATATATATATATATATATATATATATATGTATATACATATATAATATATATATATATATATATATATATATATATATATATATATATATATGTATATATATGTATATATATATATATATATATATATATATATATATATATATATATATATATATATATATATATGAAAAGGAATACCGATTTATTTTAGTTTTCTTACTGTGTATGTACACGTTACTGTGTTTGTGTTTATGTCATATATATATATATATATATATATATATATATATATATATATATATATATATATATATATATATATACAGATATATACATATATACATACATATATGTGTGCACACACACACGCACACACACACACGTGCACAGACACACATCTAAATACAAAAAAGAGTCCGTGACGAAATTCCTAGTTTCCCGAGAACTCCAATCTGAATCAGTTTTCGGAATGCATGTTAATCGTCCCATTTACAGGTGTTGCCGCTAAACTACGATGACTAAGGCCAACCGGATCTCCTTTCGTGTTACCATGTGGGCTTAATGCAGGTGGGGAGGAGGGGGAAGGAGGGGGGAGGAGCATTTGCGTGAGGGGGGTGAGATGGGGAAGGCAGGGTGGTATGGGAAGGGAGGAAGGAATAGGGGGGAGGGGGGAGGGAGGGAGAGATAGGGAGGGAGGGAGGAAGGGAGGGAGGGGGAGAGAGGGAGAGAGAGAGAGAGAGAGAGAGAGAGAGAGAGAGAGAGAGAGAGAGAGAGAGAGAGAGAGAGAGAGAGAGGGAGATGGGCAGATAGAGACAAAGAATGTGAAAAAGTGAGCGACGGAGAAAGGAAGGAAAGGGAAGAGAACAAATGAGTGACACAAACAAGAGAGAAAGAGGAAGAGCTGTTTTGCCATAAGAGGGAGTATAATTTTCTTCAACATTATCATGAAATTTGTAAATTAAGGTCAGTTTTCGAAAGGGAGGACACACACACACACACACAGAGGGAGAGAGAGAGAGAGAGAGAGAGAGAGAGAGAGAGAGAGAGAGGAGAGAGAGAGAGAGAGAGAGAGAGAGAGAGAGAGAGAGAGAGAGAGAGAGAGAGAGAGAGAGAGAGAGAGAGAGAGAGGGATGACCTTGCCTCCGCTTGACCTTATACACAAAGATATTCGAATTATGAATTAGCAACGGACATGACACGGATCGAATCTTCGGATAAAAAATTACGAAATTATCGCTTAACACGCACAGCCCTCTTCTAATGATATTGATGAAATAGATCTTAAAAAAAATAATAACCGTGTCAATTATTTTTCAAACAAGGTAGTAAAGATGAATAAAAAAAACATACACGCACACACACAAACATACACACACACACACACAAATACACGCACACACAGAAACGCACCACATAGGTACACATCTAAATACACAGACATACACATACAACACAA